ACGACCGCTCACACAGCGCGGCAAACTGTCGATCAGCGGCAGGCCAGAACAGCGGTCGCCTTCTATTGTGCCAGGAGTATTCTAGAAGGTCAGAGCCTAATAAGTAGGCTGTATTGGAGAAGCTGAGGATTCTGTTGTCTCTGTACCGTCGTGAATAAAGGCCTGCTATCAAAATCGGCTTTGCCTTCTATTCTGCCTGTTACTCCTGGGGACATAACAGAAGGCTTCGATTCGCGCATATAAGTGTGGCGAAGTGTTGAGAGACGGTCGGTTAAAAACTTGTGACGGTGGCTTGTCTCCTAAGCCCTCAGTGGCGTATTTACTCGTAGGTACTTCCTCGAGAAAACATAGTTTGGGCTGGTCAGAGCCGGCCATGCCGTCGGTTTTGGCTCCACGCTTTGTGACGAAGTCTAGCAGATAACCAGCTGGGCGTTATCCACGGGTAGGCAATCGGTTTTCCGTGAGTGTAACTGTCACTCGGATGTCGGGTGACTAGACTTGGCCTCGATTCTTAGAAGCCGGTTTTCGTAATACTAACCAGTTCAACGCAGCAAAATTGCGCAGGGTTTCCTACCGATCCATGGCCAAAGCCTCTGGCGACGGTGCGTGAAACACAACGACCATGACGCGTACTGCAGTATCAAGACGACGCAGAAGTGCAGTCCTCACGTAAATCGGTTCTCGTGCATTAGTGAAAAACTGCGACACCATGTCGAAGGGAGTTCAGTGCAGCCGATGCATCAGGCCTAATATAACTTAATGCCTGATACCTTAATGCTGCGCTAAAAATGACCTGGTACAGGGCAATAAAGTCCCCATCGCAGTGCGCCGACGTTCGTAGTGGAAGTTATCCTGTTCCAACATGCAGTGTGCACGTCTCTTCTTCGTTCGGAGGAGACTGGCATACATAATTGACATCGGACTCATTATCCAAGGCTTGGACCCGTCCAGTATTAAGGTCTAGTATGATAGTGGTTCACTGACTGGATAGGATTTGCCACCTTATCCGTTAACTTACTCTTGGATGGGATTTCAGTCAAAAAATCAGTGGCAAAAAGGACTTATTTAAGGAATCTTCATGCCTGCTATGTTGCAGTTCTGTTTTCGCACTTTGCCGCATTTTCGGAACTTGTCTTTTTGTCAGGCTTCAACTT